ATCTGAGGTTGTTCAAGTCCCTAATATAAAATGGTGTAGTGTTTGCATATAACCTATGTGCACTCTCCTGGATACTTTAAATCATCCTACTTATAATGCCTAATACAATATAAATGCTATATAAATAGTTGTACTTTATTGGTTTTTTAAATTTCTGGGTTTTTTTTAATTTGTTTTTAAATTGTTGTATTTTTAATTTTTATTTTTTGCCTGAAATTATTTTTTTTGGAGATAGAGTCTCATTCTGTCACCCTGGCTAGAGTGCAGTGGAGTCATCATAGCTCACTGCAACTTCAAACTCATGGGCACAAGTGATTCTTCTGCCTCAGCCTTCTGAGTAGCTGGGACTACAGGTGTGCATCACCACACCCAGCTGATTTTTCTATTTGTAGTGGAGACAGGGTCTCACTCTTGCTCAGGCTGGTCTCAAACTCCTGAGTTCAAGCGATCCTCCTGCCTCGGCCTCCCAGAGTGCTAGGATTACAGGTATGAGCCACCTCGCCCAGCCATCTTTGAATACTTTGATCCTTGGTTGGTTGAGTTCATGGATGCTGAACCCATGGATACAGAGGGCCGACTGTACTTTCTGAAATGAATAAATCAGTAGCCTTCTGGGTCTTTATGTGGTCATATTATCACTTGTGCTGCACTCAGCATGATCGTAGAGAGCAAAACTAGCCTTTCCCAAGTATTACTGTGGAGTTGAGCTCTGCTGTGTGGCCTTTTACCCCCAGTCTGGCTTACCAAAGGTCACCTGGCCTTGGCTAAAAGGATATCTAGCCCAGTGCCTAGCACATGTTAGGTGCACAATAAATATTTGTTGAATGAATGTTGTCTGGTATGTCCCTGCTCCTACTAGTCTTCTGTCCCTACCTTTTCACTCCCCAGCTGACTTTCTCCCTTTGGTCTTGTTTGAAGTATGATAGGTGAAAAGCTGTTAAAGCCACTTGCAAAAGATAAGTCAGGCCTGAAGGGTTGGGACATCTTCTAGGGTGTAATGTGAATATCACTGAACTAAAGTTCACCCTACTTTAGCTCCTGCTTCCCCACCTGAAGGAAAAGGTGTACTTGTGGCTTCACACCCTTTCGGCTATTCTCAATGCTTGGGCTTTAATAGGGGTCAGGGAACTGATTTTCATAGCTGTATGTCTAATACTTTGTTGGAATGGGTGGTGCTGGGATAGAAAGGCAGTTTCACTAAGGGAATGTCTCTGGCTCAGCATATTAAAAAATTGGGGGACATTATGGAATTTGAACTGGGTGTTGGGGCGCACAAGACTTGAGGAAGACTGAGAACAGAAACCCTCTCATGAGAACAGGCACAATGATAGACGGAACAGGTTTTCTCCTGCCCCACATGTTCTGAGCACCTAGAAGCCATTTAAAGAACAACTTCTTGGAGATGGCTGGTCTTTGGATCATTCCCAAAACCTACTGACCTTTCTACTGAAATCAAAAAGACTTCTTTTCTTTTTCCCTTGATTGAATAAAACTGCCAGCCTCTCCCCCTCTTAGAACAGGAAGCTGGGGCTAAAATGTGAAACAGCCCTCCTATTCATTCCCCTCTCCATTTATAGGTGTCTCCCACTCCCACTGTCTATTCCCCAACCTTCGTTGATGAGAAATTCTTTTTGGCCGTTTTCAGGCTCCTGTAGGCAACAAAAGGCCCAGAAGCAGCCTCCTTTCTAAACCCTTGTTTTTGCCTAACATCCCCTGGCTGCTGTCCCCATATGACCCAAATAAACAGATGATCATGTGAAGCCAGTAAGGCTGTTTGTTTTAAATAGCAGGCATCTCCACTAAGCTCTGGAGCAGATGGGGTATTGGGGGCAGGGGGAGAGGCTGACATTCAAATCTGTGTTCACCCCACTTTAGGTCCTGCTTCCCCACCTGAAGGAAAAGGTGTCTTCAGAATACTACTTTTCAGAGCAGTGCCTACCTAATGGGATAAAGCTAGCTCTTGACAAGAAGAGTGAGAAAAATTGGACTTCAGCCTCTAGCAGACACTCTGGGGCTGTGTGAGAGCCATGACCGCCTGAGGAAGGCAGGAGTGGATGCTGGATATAGCACTCTGCGCAGAGTGCTCCGGTGCTGACCCCAAACAAAATGAGAACCTCAGGTCACTATTAGTAGATGCTCCTTGACTTAGGATGAGTTTAACTAGGCATCACCCCATCCTAAGTTGAGGAGCATACTGAGTGCATAGCGCTTCTCTGCACCATTGTAAAGTCAAAAACCTTAAGTTTCATCACTGAAAATCAGGGAGCGTCTATGCTGTTTAGGGTCCTTCCACCATTGCAGCCTATGTATTACCTTTAAATTTCCCATTTTCTCTGGCGGTGCAGAGTGGGCCAGGCCCAACCATACTGGTATCAAGTGGCAGACATCTTAAAGGAAGCAATGTCAGGGCCAGCAGGGATGTAGGAAAAGGGCACTCATCCCATGGAGAAGAACTGGGCTGTTGTGTTCTGATCCCCATCTGCTCCAGCTCATCATAAGCACAGTCAGTGGCACCTGGACTCGTGTGTGTGTGTGTGTGTGTGTGTGTGTGTGTGTGTGAATGAGCTCAACTCCAGATGCTGGGACGTTAGACGTCCAAAGATCAGAGCCTCCTATAGACTAGTGTTGGCAAACAACCCCCTTCCTCCCCTTCACTAGGTTCTTGATTTCAGGATCTTCTATGCAGATTTTCTTTCACTAGGATGCACTGTGGTGCCCTCAAAGGAGTAAAGCCAGCAAGCATTCATTTGTGCTATCCTTCTATGCTTCCAGCTAGTCCCTGAAATAGGAATGTTCCCCTGTGAGGGCCCAGTGTGGATGGGATGGATTGGCAGGCTGACCTGCCTCTCAGCTGTCCCCATGAAGGTTTGCTTTTTGGCTTCGCGTGATGGTGAAGCCCAGGCTCCCGAGTCCTAAAACCACTGATGTGGATTGCTCCACTCTTCTTGGACTGGTTAGCAAACAAAGGCATCTGGGGCCAGAACTGAGGGGTCCTACACCTAGCACTGGGACAGCAGAACTGGACGTGCTCCAGAGTGCCCCAAATATGCCTTCAGCCGGCTGCGTCTGTCACTCCCGACTGTACCAGTGAGGTTTGTGTGACCTCCACTGAAGCAGAACAGCAGCGCTGGGTTTCAGGTGAAGGAGATTTTTGTTGCCCCAATCACAATGCATCAAGTGGTCAGACCCCTTTACGGGGTGACCAGTTTGATATTCCTCCCTGGCTTTTTTCTAATTGGGGGCCCTACCCCAGAACTGGCTTCAAAGAGTGGTCCGTGGGGTCAGAGATAAATGTTCCTCTCCACGGGGCGAGGAGCAGCTAGAATACTCAATAACCTTGGACTGGTCCTTTCCTGTTTCTGGGTCTCAGTTTCCTTATCTGTAAAGTGAGGACTGGGCAACCTCAAAGCTCTAACTTTCTGATTGTACCCAAGACGCCCCTAAACACCAGTGCCCGTAAGGAGCGAGCGGGCGGGCGCGCCAGCCGGGGTCCCCGCCCTCCGGGGGAGCGCGGTTAAAGCCTGACACAGCGGTCCCGCCCCGCGCCCCGCCCCGCGCCCCGCCCGCTGCCTCGGTCACCCCGCCGCCCGGAGGGCCGGGCTTCCGCCCTCCACGTTGTTGATCCCAACTTGAGCCACGCCCCCTTGGCCTGGACTGTGGACGCCTCGCCTTAACCGCCCCCATCCCGGCCCCAGAGCAAGGGGTGGCCTCGGGGATGGCAGAGTCGGAGTCTCCATCCACATCAGACACGCGTGGACAAAGACAAGAGTTTAGAGGAAGGAAGGAGAGAGGCATAGTTTTAAATGGAAGATGGTTAACAGTAATGGGAAGGCCGGGGCACGACTGCGGGATTCCCCTTTCTGTGTTCCACCCCGTGTTCACCCAGTGGCCCCATCAGCACCCGGGAATGTGACCCTGCAGACGCTGGCCCTTTAAACAGAAGGCTGGCGGCGCGGGGTGTCCATGTGGAGCTGCTCCATGCCGTGTTGTCCTGCCCGCCCATTGGCCCGTGGCCCGGTGACGTCGCCTAATAGGATGCGAACGCACTGCGGGGGGAGGAACGGAGACAAAACGCGGAACCGGATCGCCACTCCGCTCCCTTCACCAGTTCTCTGACAGTCTCCTGCCGTCAGCTCCGCCCAGGGGCGGATCCCGGGGGAATTGCGACAACTGAGTGGTTGCGGGATTTAGGTCGCGAGTGGGTGGAGCGCGGAGATGTAGGGATCGGGCCAGTCTCACCATCCTAAAATATCCCTCGCCTGGACTGTCCGTATTTGAGCTATCTTAAGTCTTGAATTTTCCACCCTTCCTTCCCTCCAGCAGGACGGATTTCGTCGTGAGTGACCAGACACGCAGCGCTTGCTCAACCTGTGGCTTGCCGTCGCGGCGGGGCGGGGCGGGGCGAGAGAGCGGAAATACAGCGCGCAAACCCGGTTCCCTCTCCCCTCGCCCCCGCCCGGGCCACGTGTGCGCGCGCCGTCTGGGGGCGGGGCCAGCCCGCGCAGGCCCCGCCCTCCCTTCGTGAGACGCCGCGGTCCTGCGGGCGGGGGCTCCGGTCCGGGCTTTGGCTGCCGCCCCGGTGTAGTAGCGGGGGCGGCGGCCGGGGGCAGCGCGGCTCCTTCCCTTGTTGTGTGTGTCGGTGCCTCCTCGCCATCTTGTTGCAAAGCCCTTTCTTGTCGGCGGGACTCCCGGGGGCCGCGGGGCGGGAGGCATCAGAAGCGAAGAAGGGAGGGAGGGGAAGAAGGGAGGCAGTGCCGCCTTTTTTTTTTTTTGCATCACGTTTTTTTAAAATTTGCAAATTTATATTTTGCAAATATTTTGGGAGACATTGATTTTTCTCCCCGTGCTCCCCCGTTCTTCCCTGCGGAGTGCGCTGCGCCGCCCAGCCCTGTCGCCCCCCGGAGGTGATCCCTCCCTCCTGCCTGCCCGCCAGCCTGACCTGTGCCCGGCTCGCGGGCCGCAGCCTCGGCCCCGGCGCGCCCCCGGCAGCTCTCGGCGCGATGAGCATAGAGACGCTACTGGAGGCGGCCCGCTTCCTGGAATGGCAAGCGCAGCAACAACAGAGAGCACGTGGTGAGCGGCCGGGCTGGGCCCCTGGGGCACTGGGGAAGGGGAAGCGAGTGACCTCGGTATCTGAGCCCACGCGAAACCACGGGCAGCCCCCCACCCAGGCGGCCTGCGAAGCCGGGCAACACACGGCTCCCCGCAAGAGCCGCCGCCCGGGAAGGAGTAATGTGGGCAGTGAAATTAATTAATGAATTCATTAACATGCAGCTAGGGACGCGGCTCCTGCGGGCGTCACCCCAGCTGCCTGGCACCCCTGTGCACCTTCCGTGGGGGGCTCCTTTTGCGTGGGCCAACGGAGCCCTCGGTAGCGCTGAGGATGTGTGAGCCGGGGGGTGGGGTGAGGAATGGTGTTGCGTGGGGGTGGCAGACCCGCGTGTGCGTGTGTGAGTGCACGGGGGATGTGTGATGTGCGCCTCGGGAGAGAGGATGAACGGACGTGTACACGGGCGTGTGTGTAGCACACGAGTGGGCGTGTGTGTAACGGAGTGGTGGTGGGGATTACTCTACGCCGAACAGCTCTCCGGCTTCCCTGGCCCCGTGGGGAGGGTGCTGGGGGCGCTCCCGGCAGATCTACGCGCCTCTTGGGGCGGAGGCGGCCTTTGCAGAATGAAATGACATCGCGTGTCTTATGATCCTGGCCAGCCCTGCCTGACCCCGCCTCCCAGAGCTGGGCTGGGTCGCGCGTCAGGGGTTTGGGTGAGAGCCGGACTAATTGGGTGTCTGCAAAACAGCCGCGGGTCGCTGGGGGCAACCCTCAGGCACCCCTCGCTGCACACTGCTTTAGCCGGTGTGGAATGTGGCGTGTCTGCGCGTTCCAAACCCGCTCTCGCCTGGAATGTTGCGTGTGCTTGCGTTCCAAGCCCGTTGGTTACACCGGGTGGTGACGTGGACGGGCTCCGCCCCCGACCACGTGCACCCGGGACACTCCCGCTGGGGACGGCGTGGTCCGGCCCCTCCTCGCAGCCTCGCGCTCGTCCGGGGGCGGGGTCTGGGCGGGGCTGGCAAGGGGCCTTGCCCCGGGTTCGGCCCCGGCCTCGGCCTCTGGACATCTCCGGGGGAGAGCCTTTGCCCTGCGGAGGAGGAGGAGCCGAGCTCACCTGTCGGTTCTCGCCCCATCTCCAGTGTTTGATCCTGAGGCGAGGGAAACCCTCAGAATCTCAGCGCAACTAGACATTTAGAGCTCACATCTTCCCACTGACCCTCAAAATGTTATCACCAGACTCCCCCCCCCCCCCGGCAACTTCCTGGGCCATACTGGAATGAGCCGGGCTGAGAAGGGGCAAACTTTGGCGCTCCCTCGACAAGGGGACGACGACACTAATATCTCCTATCCCCACGCGCCCTTGGTGGTCTATAGCTTCAGGGTGCTGCAAAAAGAGGGGGTGGGAGGAAAGACCTTCCTTTCCCAGACTGCCACGAGGGCCTCAGCCCCGGAGCGGCGTGTGCGCAGGACCTGGGGACTCCCGTTCCCTCCCAGCCCCCACAGACCCCCTCGGCAGGGTCGGTTGTGGTGGAGAGAGTGCTTTGCTCTCCTTTCCTTTCTCTCTGCCTATTGTTGCTTCAGTGATGAGTCATGCAGGAGGTAGTAGTGTGTGTTGTGTGCGCGCGCGCCGTGTGCCGCCGCGGCGGCGGGCGGGGGAGCGGCAGCGGGCAAGGGGCGGGGGGCTGCGGGGCCGCCGGCCTTGTTGGGCCGCCGACCGGCCTCTCAAGGTCAAGAGTCACTCGAGATACTGGAAACCTAGATGCTTGGGTTTTGCGGAACTGATGGGCTGGGACATCCGCCCACACTCTCCTCCCCCTTGTCTTCGGGGTCCAGAGCAGGGTCAGGCAATGGACAGTGCAGTGGTGGTGACCGAGGATGTCCTGCCTGTGGGCCCAGTGGGGGGGGGGGGGAGGAGCGTGCACCAGGTCTGGAGAGACTGAGTCACCTGCTGCCACCATCAACACAATGCAGTTGGAGAGTACCTATTGTGTTCCCACTGTGAACCAGGCCCTCTGCTAGGGGTGAACCTATTGAAGCTGATTTTACCCCAGGGAACACACACTTCATCCTCCCCTTCCCACCCTTTCCCAAATAAGAAAGCCCAGAGCTGACCAGGGAGGTAGAAGGTGATGTGGAGGAACCCAGGAAGGGTTCTCTCCTGGGAAGTTACAGAGCCTTGCTCCTCCCCAGGGGGTAAGAACTGGGGGCAGACCAAGTTCAGCTGCCCAGTCACAGTTTCCTGGTGCTGGGTCAGGGGGTCTTAAGGGATGGGGGGGTTAAAGCCAAATCTACTCCAGAAACCCATGTATAGATGGCCAGACCTGGTCCCAGCAGTTTAATCTCCAGAATTCATTTTCTTCTCCCTCCTGATGCTCTGGCCTCTGACCTGGGATGGGAGGAATAGGAGAGAAGGGGGTGGCATGTGAACTTGCTGACCAGAACCACTTTGCTGGGGTATACCTGATGACCAGCTCTGAGCAGGGATCCTCTTGTCCATTCCCCCTTTCAACCTCAAGGGTGGGTTTTCTGACCTAGACCAGCCAGTTTGCTCACATGATGAACCTGAGGATGTGTATGCATGTGAATACGTGAGACAGAAGACAGCAAAGGGCTGAGCCATCCTGGTGCTCAGCAGGAAGGCCTGGCCTGGTCTTGCAGGTGGCTAAGATGCGACTCTCTTCTGTCTTGATTGGAGAGAACTGGTCTAAATGTCCAGAAGCTCCTGACCAAGTCTCACCTTGGGCCTGCCTTAAGCACCAAGCTCCCTGTTAGCACTCAGGACGGGAGAATCCCTGGTGCATGTTCCGGGCCGCCCCGTATGGACTCCTCCACCGCCAGCCCTGTGCCTACTGAGCCCCTGGGCCACAGTAGCTTGAGAAGGTTGGAGGCAGCACAGTGTCCATGCTCTTGACTGTGGGCTGAAGCCTTGGCCCCTGGATCACCCCAGGGGGTCATGCTAAATTTTGGGGGGGCAGCCCAGGGTGGAGCCCAGGGAAGGTGCCAGAGTATGAGTGCATGTATGTGAGGGAGACAGGGAGTGCACCCGGGGGTGCAATGGAACATTCCTGTAAGAAGCCTAAACGCAGACTGCCCCTGAGGGAGCCCTAAGGGAGGCCCTACAACCATCAGTTTGCTTCCTCTCCAGTGCACAGGGAGAGGGTCGCTGCTGGGTGGGGAGTGTGCCAGAGCTGGGGGAAGGGGCAGGAAGCTTTGGTGGGTTGAGTCTGGCATGGGGCACCCCCTTTTCTTCACTACCAGTCAAGCTTTAACAGGCTGGTTCAGGTGTGATAGAGCTGTGCCATTTTCCTGGATCCTTCCTGGCACCTGTGAGGGGAACTGGCCTGGTTCTGGAAAAGAGAGGGTAGGTGAGAAGGAGGTGAGCTTTGGAGTTGCTTTAAAATATGGGGAATGGGTGGTTTGCCTGCAGTGTGGGTTCCCAGGGCACTTTTCCTTAGGACTTGGCCCTGCCAGTCCCTCTGCCTGTGGAGAATGGAGCACTTGCCCCAAGGCCAATGAAAGTTTAGGTCCTGGGTCAGTCAGAGGAATGGGGGAGCGGACTGTGTTGGGCCCTGAGCTCAAGGGCCTTGTCTTGGGGGGAGGTGGGGAGTGGAAGGGGAGTGGGGAAGGGGACTGGGGATGTCCCAGGATGGGCCTAAGAAGGGCTCTGTAGCTGGAACTCTGCAGGCTTCTTTGCCATTGTGGTTTGTGGCAAGCTGGAGAGCTGAGAGCTGCTTTTCTCTGGGGCTGTAACATAAGCCTGGGTGAGCAAGGCCTCCCTGTGTGGGAGCACGCCTGCACTGGCCTGGCATCTCCCCTTCCTGAAGGGCAGGGGAGATAGGGAAGAGGCCCACTGACCAGCCCAGCCTCTGCACTCTGGCTGCTGGGAAACCACTGAGTGCTCCCCCTCTCAAAACACTTCCCCCTCTACTTCCTCCTTCCCCCCTGCAGGAGGGAGGGGCTAGGGGCAGGCCTAGTTCACACTCAAGCTGGTGACTGGCCGAAGGACCCTGAGGCCTCAGGTTTTCTGGGGCCTCTGAGCCAGTAAGACATTTGGAGGGTTGGTGCCCTCCTCCTCCCTAGGGGGGAACTTAGCCAACTTCAGTCCCCCAGCCCCACCCAAGGTGGTGGCGTGTTTGGGGCGTGTCCACCAGCCAGTGCTGTCAGCTCTGTTAGTCAGCAGAGGGCTGAATGCAGGGCTGTCCAGCCAGCTCCCTGGCCTGGGGGTTGCAGACTCTCCCAGGGCCAGCCCAGCCTGTGGCCTGGGAACCCGGTGGTCAGCCTGGGAGAGGACAGGACAGGGTGGAGATGGAGAGGGGCCTCTGCGTCAGCTCCTGAGCAGGCCTCACCTTCCTGCTGGGCTTTCAGTGGAACTGCTGGGGTGCAGGGTTCCCAGAGTCCTTTGCCTTGCTCGACCCCTATTAGGAATCCCGGCTTTCCTCTCTGCCTGCTGCTTACCGTTCCAGTTTGTGCTGCTGCTGGTGGCAGGGAGGGCGGGGGGATTTGGGAGAAATGATTTCTAGCATTCTAGAAGGGGCAGAGAGGGAACAAATGTGTTTGTTGAATTGTCCCTGAGGAAAACAAAGGCCTTGGGACCTAGCCTGGGAGTCAAGAGTCCTGAGCCATTTCCTCATGTGTGAAATGAAGCTGATATCCCTGTCCTGCCTGTGATGGGGGGGCCTTGTGAGGATCCAGGGGGGTGTGAATATGTGTGGGAAGATACCTAGTGAGTACATGTTGGCACAACAAGTATAGAGCATCCAGCCAGGCATCAGGAGACTTGCTGTGTGACCCTCAACAAATCACTTTGCCTCTCTGAGCTGACTTTACCTCATCTGTGAAATGAAGGTACTGCCTGCCCTCTAGAAGGTGCTTGGTAAATGTCACCGAAGGCATTCCCCAGAAGGAGTGCTCTGTCTGTGCCCCTCTGTTCTCCCGTGGTGACCTGTGAAGTCTTGTGGACTGGGCTCTTGCTCCTCATCTTCCCTGCTCATCATGTGCTGTGCTGGGCCTGCAGCATCCTCTGACAGCTCCTGCTCTGCCTTCCCGTCCCATCCCTCCCCAGCCTGGACTGTTAGCCTGTTACTTGTCCTCCCACAACCCCTGCCCCAGGCTGTGAGCTCCCCAGGGCAGGGATCAGGTCTGCCTTATTCATTCACTGCCGTGCCCCCAACACTTACCCCAGTGCCTGGCTGGATGTGGTTGGGTATTCGTGGTGTCTCAGGCAGGGCAGGGTGTCGCTGAGCACTTAACTGGGATAGGGTCAGAGGATGGGTTAGGGTTGGAGGATAGGTGAAACTGGGGCCCAGGACCATCAGCCCCACTGAGACGCCCCTTGTGTTCTCTGTGCGTAGAGGAGCAGGAGCGGCTTCGCTTGGAGCGGGAACGGGAGCAAGAGCAGAAGAAGGCCAGTAGCCTGGCCAGATTGGCACATTCCCTGCCTGTGGAGGAACCCCGCATTGAGGCGCCACCCCTGCCTCTGTCCCCGCCGGCACCCCCACCGGCACCCCCACCACCGATTGCCACCCCCACGCCACTGACTGTCATTCCTATTCCCGTAGTGACCAACTCCCCTCAGCCACTGCCCCCACCCCCACCGATGCCCCCTGCAGCCCAGCCTCTGCCCCTGGCACCTCGGCAGCCGGCCCTGGTCAGCACCCCTGGACTCAGCATTAAGGAGCCTGCCCCCCTGCCAACCAGGCCGCAGGTGCCCACCCCTGCTCCCCTCCTGCCAGACTCGAAGGCCACCATTCCATCCACCGGCAGCCCCAAGCCTTTGCAGCCCCTCCCCACACCCATCCTGACCATAGCACCACATCCTGGAGTCCAGCCTCAGCTGGCCCCCCAACAGCCACCCCCACCCACGCTTGGGACCCTGAAGTTGGCACCAGCTGAAGAAGTCAAATCCAGCGAGCAGAAGAAGAGGCCTGGGGGGTGAGTGAGGCAGAGTCGGTGCTGGGGGGATGGAGAGGAGAACTGTCCACCCCCTGGGCTGTGTGTGCAAGAGAAGTACCCTCCCATGCTAGCCCTTCAGAGGCATGTCCTGCTGCCCAGAAGCACCTCCTATATTTGGACACATTCTCACTGTGCCCATCTCTGTCCCGGGAATGAATGGCCATCGCCCTCTGTTGTTCTCAGGCTTCTATGTTCTCGGACTCCCTCCAAACCTGAGGCTTATGGCATTTCCAGGCCTCTGGACAGAGTATTGGATTATGGGCCTCCTGGGTGAGGGCTGGGGTCAACCGGCTGTTTGCGAGGCCCAAGAGCCTCTGTCTCCCTTGCGGTTGGCTGGGTGGGATGGAGGGTTACAGGGCTTGTGGCTTATGAGCATAGATGTGCCCTCCAGGGCGTGAACGCAGCACTGCACAGAACGACGCCTCTGTTGCTGTTTTTATAGAGAGAATGTTGGGGACAAAAAGCCTGTGGCAATTTGTGGGGTGGCGGCGGGGGTCAGGAAGGCCTCCAAATTGGGCTCTCCTCCCTGAGCCTCCTGTCTGTCTGGGTTTCAGGATCGGAACCAGAGAAGTCCACAACAAATTGGAGAAGAACAGGTGTGTGTGGGTGCGTGTGTGACTCGGGCCCACCCCGCCTGCTCCCAGGACTCGCTCCACCCTTGGTCCCCAAGCGCCCCTTGGGCCTTCCCTACCCGCTCCAGCCCCCGCCCCCCGGCGCTGGCTGACCGGCCCTTGCTCCCTCTCCCCAGGAGGGCCCATCTGAAGGAATGCTTTGAGACCCTGAAGCGTAATATCCCCAACGTGGATGACAAGAAGACGTCGAATCTGAGCGTGCTGCGGACGGCGCTGCGGTACATCCAGGTATGGGGGAGGGAAGCAGCGGCCGGCGGTGGCGGCGCCAGCTTCCTCCCCACTTCGCCTTCCTCCTTCCCTCGCTGCGGCCCGGCCCCGCCCTGCCGCTCTCCCCGCTCCCCCCGGCTCCCCCGCCCGCCTCCACGCGGGCGCTGAGCACATGGCCCGGCTGACGTCAGCGGGGCTCCCTGCCCGGGAGGCGGCGGGCGGAAGGGCGCGCGTGCGCAGAGGAAAGCGCGGCGGTGCTCCCCTGCCTGCCTCCCCCGCCCGGCTGCTCCGCGGAGCCCCTGCCGTCTGCTCTGCGCCGCAGCCTCGGCATCCCTGGGACCCGGGAGGCGCGCGCTGTAAACTCGCTTGGTGTAAAACCCCCTGCCCGGCCCCCGCTTTGCGCGTGCGAGTGCACCCGCGGGTGAGAAGGGCGTGGAGCGAGCACGGCGCCCCAACCCGCCCTCAGTGCCTGGGCGGGAACTTCGGCCTGCCTGTCGCTAGTTGTGGGGGCAGTCTGGGCGTGGTCTCCGTCCACACTGCGGCGCGCTTGAGGCCCCCCACTTTTACCCCAGAAAGATAAAGGCCCTTTTGGTGCGTTCATTGAGGTGCCACGACCCGAGTTTGGGGCTTGGGGGAATGCGGCGGTCTGGGTGACAAATACGCTGGGCCAAATCTTAGAAAAAAATTACAGTTTCCTCCCAATTGGGTTAAAAAAGGGGGGGAACCTTTTTTAAGGGGCCCTCCTGGTCGTGTGCCCCCCCTTTGGGCATTGGCTTCCCTCTGCAATACTGGGGGTGGGGGCTGCCAGATAAGACAGTTGCCATGACGGCCCTGAGTTTCGGTTTCCTTGGGAACCGGCGGTGGGTTCCGCGGGCCGGGAAGGCTGTGGGGGATGGGGCGGGCCGACACGCTCGGCTGCCGTGGAGACGGAGAGCCGTTGGGGAATGGGAGGGACTTCGGGATCCCTGCCCGCGTGGGGCGGGGGTAGGGTGAATCTCGGGGGTCTCCTTGTTGACCCACTTGTGAAGTCCGGGGTGCTGGGCGGCGTCACGGTCCCTGGGGGAGGGGGCAGCGAGGGTCCGGCCAGGCTAGGAGGCAGCTACGGGACGCCACCCTTCCCCTGGTCTCGACTGCGGGGTCACAGCCCTGAGGTAACCGGAGCCTGACTTGATGGCGGGGGGGGGGGGGGGGCGGAGGCGCGGCGACTCCCTCCTCCTTCCACCTCACGCGAACGCGCACCCTTCCTCCCGCCCTCCTGGGCGAGGTGGGGGGCCTGGCACGCCTCCAGGCCACTTCCCGGCAGCCGGGAGGGGCGGGGCCGAGCTCGCGGATTGGGTGAGCCTGGCTGGGGGCGGGGCCCCTGAGCGTGCGGAGGGAGGGTGCGGCTGGCGGGGAGTGACGCAGCAAAGCCGGGTCCGCGTGGGTGTGCCCGTGCTCCGGGAGGGGCGGGGCTTCGCTGGCGACCGGAGTTGCCCCGGCGCGGAGCGGGAGTGGGGGGGGGGGTCCCGGGAGGTTGTGAAAGGCCGGATGGCTTATTTCTGGGTGTTTTCTGCAGAACTTGGGCTTGGGTATAATTTGCTGGTCTTTCAGTCATTCGGCCTCTTAGCAAGTCACTCTACATGCTGTGACATTCTTGTGAATAAGGAATTTCCTCTCCTGTGCGGTGATGCTGAATGGGAAAAAATAATAGTACCTTTGTCATAGGAATGTTAGGCGGGTTAGCTGAGATTGTTTTTATATGTAATTCGAAGCAGTCTTAATAGTAATTATTATCGAGTAATAGGAAGAATTGAATGGCACGTCCGTCTTTATAGATGCGTAGATATGTATTTGGGGAGGGGCGCCTTGCCTAACGTGTAGATTTGAAAAGAATTCAGAAATACTCAGTGGAAGCAGCAGAATGAAGCTTCTTAGGAGCTGAGCCTGGGTTAAGTAGGTTAAGTAGGAAGTGGAGTGGACCCCAGGCTGTCCATAAGGGATACTTGTTCTGGTGCTATTAATAGAAGCAGGAACAGCAGAAAACTCACAAGACTTTCTGTAAATGCTCAACTTCATTCATTCATTTATTCATTCAGATAGTTTTAGCCAGGTCCTGTGTCTTCTTCTGAAGATACAGTGGAAAGGAAAAAAAAATACGGGTCTCTGTCCTTGGAGGTTTGGTCTTGTGACAGAGTGTAAACAAGTAGACATATAGAAGACTGCCAGGAGGGCATAATAGGGACAGGTGTGGCAGGATTTGTTCTGGGAAGGCAGGGAAGTCAATGCTGAGGAAAGGACATTTGAGCTGAGATCTGCAGGGTAAGTCAGGGTGAAGTAGGCAAAGTGGGGGCCAGAGAGCCCAGCACAGGCCAAAGTTTCTCCACTGCGGGGAGTAGGATGCGTTTTTGGAAGCAAAAAGTAAAGCTGCATGGTGGGACGCACCTGTAGTCTCAGCTACTTAGGAGGTTTAAGGTGGGAGGAATGCTCGAGCCCAGGAGTTTGAGGCCAGCATGGACAACATAGACCCCATCTGAAAAATAAAAACACAAAAGATTAAAAAAGGTTGGTTAGGGTGGTTGCCATGCAGAGATGGGGGACAGCAGGCACAAGAGAAGAGTCAAAACTTGGTCCTGGAGAGGCCAGTGGGACAGTGTGGACTGAGGGCTTTCATTGTATGCTGAGAGCAGGCAGCCATGGGAAAGGTGGTAGCCCCCAGCCAGACTCTAGAGTGGCCTGGAGGTGGTAAAGGATTTGAAGAAAACCACAGTGAAGTGGACAGAGACAGGAAGAGGAGTAGATAGGTACCAAACCATACATCCAGGTAGTCACAGAAAGGAAATAGGTTTAAAATGAAGCGGTTGTGGACTAAAGTTAGAACCTGGGGACACCACAGGGGCCCTAGGCCTATGGAGAACTGGATTAGGTGAGAAGAGGAAGTTTTGACCATGATACTCCCTGGCCCCAAAGTCTAGCCACCCCAAAAGTGGGTAGAGTTCAGGATGGCCGCTTCCAGCCCCCAGCCGTCAAGTGAAGGCTGACTCACCATGGGCCCGTTGTTGATCTGGCCTCATTTGATGTCACATCCAGCCTTGGCCTCTGAGGGGTAGAGCCAGGTGAGAAGCCAACAGGGGCATGGGGAGGTGTGTATGTGAGGGGGAGAGGAGGTCTTTCCTACTGTCTTTCTAACAGAAAATGGGGTCAGGTCAAGAGCTCATGGGGGCACGGAAAAGACTTGGTGTAGAAGGGAGCTGAGAAATGGGACACATGCTGGCCTTTCAGAGCTGTTAGTAGGCTTTGTGCAAAGGGAAACTGGAGTCCCTTAGACAGGCGAGCAGTGCCATAGTGTGGAAGGCATGGTACCTCTTCCTGTGCCAGGGGTTGACTCCTAAGAGGTAGAAGATTGCCAGTGAGCCTGAAAGTGGGGCCATGAAGAAGGGAGCTCCCTCCTGATGTTCTCAGTGAAGGGCGTGGTATCATCGCCATGGAAGGAGGGCCAACCCGAAACCTTAATGAAGGGCTGAAGCCTCTCCCCGATTGCTTAGTTGGAGTCAGTGGATGCTTTTGAGCACCCCAAGAGCCATTTTTCATCGTTAGCTCAGGCATAGGTATAGAAAAAGCGGGATGTTCAGCAGCCTGGGAAGTCTAAGGGCTGTGGGCAGGGTGGTTGGGAAGAGAGGTGGGGTACAGTGTATAAATAGAGCATTATTGAGAGGCAGCACATGTGGGCACACTGGCGTATAGCCCAGGAGGTCGGAGAGGAGGTGCGGAGCCAACAGGTGCTGGGGAGGAGATGGAGGCAAGTTGTGGAGATGAAACAGGGAGGGGTGGGGTCACAAAGTCTAGTGGGTCATTCTCCAAGGATGTTGAAGTTACCAGGGAGATAAGTGAGTGGTGAGATAGAAGCAAGTGTAGGATTGTTTGGGGGTTTTTGGGGAAAGGGTTCCAAGGAGGTAGCTTGTGGCACTGGTGACTGAACAGAGAGTATGAATGGTGGGGTGGCCTTGGGTCTGACCAGGGAAGTAGCGAAGCTGCAGGGAGTGGGGCAAGAGGCAGCAAGGCCCCTTGGGAGAGAGTTGATGTGAGGGGTGGGGAAGGGCCCCCATGCTTGGGGAGGGCTGACCTGGATCTGTGTTTGCCCTCAACAGTGCCTGCCTAAGCCCACGTTGCCCCGGATGCTGGGCCCCACTGGGCAGAGGCATGGATCAGGATGCAGGCGTGGTCTCCAACAGCCTTGTCAGGCTGGGCCCCTGGTGGCTGCAGACTTGTCCCTGTGGGTTGGCTGATGTGCAGAGATGTTTTGAGGTACTGTGGGCCCTGAGGCTGCTGCTAAGGGTGTGTTGCTGTCCCTTACTCTGTCCCCCAGTCCCTGAAGAGGAAGGAGAAGGAATATGAGCATGAGATGGAGCGGCTGGCTCGGGAGAAGATTGCCACGCAGCAGCGGCTGGCAGAGCTCAAGCACGAGCTGAGCCAGTGGATGGACGTGCTGGAGATCGACCGCGTGCTCCGGCAGACGGGCCAGCCTGAGGACGACCAGGCCTCCACCTCGACCGCCTCTGGTGAGCCCTGGCCCCTATGCTGGCCACACCACCCTCAAATGTTGCACCCTACACCTCAAATTCCAGCCTCCCTGGCCAGGCTTTTGCCCACTGGAAAAGATGCCCCTTGCCCCAGCCCTGTCATATCCCCGGGCCCCCACAGGCATCTATGCGTCCAACCACTTGTTTCCCAAGCTCTTCTGACCTGCTCCCTGCCCCCTGTTCCCCCACAGAGGGTGAGGACAACATAGACGAGGATATGGAGGAGGATCGGGCGGGCCTAGGCCCACCTAAGCTGAGCCATCGTCCCCAACCGGAGCTGCTGAAGTCCACCCTGCCACCCCCCAGCACCGCCCCCGCGCCTCTGCCTCCACACCCCCAGCCCCACCCAGTGGCCCTGTCTCCTGCCCACCTTCCTGTGCAGCAGCAGCCGCCACAGCAGAAGACCCCTCTGCCAGCTCCTCCTCCCCCACCGGCTGCCCCTGCCCAGACGCTGATGCCAGCTCCAGCCCATTTGGTGGCCACGGCTGGGGGCGGCTCCACAGTCATTGCCCACACGGCCACTACCCACGCCTCAGTCATCCAGACTGTGAACCACGTTCTACAGGGGCCGGGTGGCAAGCACATCGCCCACATAGCCCCCTCGGCCCCCAGCCCTGCTGTGCAGCTGGCACCTGCCACACCCCCCATTGGCCACATCACAGTGCACCCTGCCACCCTCAACCATGTGGCCCACCTAGGCTCACAGCTGCCCTTGTACCCACAGCCTGTGGCGGTGAGCCAGCCCGTGGCAGTGAGCCACATCGCCCACACCCTCTCGCACCAGCAAGTGAATGGCACAGCTGGGCTGGGGCCCCCAGCCACCGTCATGGCAAAGCCAGCTGTTGGGGCTCAGGTGGTCCACCACCCCCAGCTGGTGGGTCAGACAGTGCTCAACCCTGTGACCATGGTCACCATGCCCTCCTTCCCAGTCAGCACACTCAAGCTGGCTTGAGGATGAGGCCACTCAGAGGCCCCCAGTGGGGGCAGGGAGGGGGACCTATCCCCCACTGTCCCACCCACCAGCTCCACACATTCCAGCCAGGTCCAGGCCCGCCCCCCCCACACCCACCCCCAGGCCTCCTAGGGGAAGGGGGTGCAGAGACTCTGAGCCAGGGGAGGGCGGGGCCGCCCCAGGGAGTTGGGCACAGGGCAGGGACTTACCCTGCTGCACTAGGACTTGATAAAATGACTGATGAGAGATACTCTGAACGTGCCGCCTGTCCGGCCTGGTGCCAGCTCCAATGCTGTTCCTGCTTCCCCACCCTGTCCTCTGAAATCAGTGCGATGTGACTGTCATGTTCTCTGACTTCTTCCCTCCCCTGCCCGCCTTCCCGTGCTGCTGCTGCTGCTGCTGCTGCTATTGCTATTGCTGTCTGGTGAGGTGGCCGAGTGCCCTGGGCCTCCCTACCTGAGCTTCAGTGTTCTCTTCCCAGGCCTCTGGAGGGGAAATGGGGAAAGCGGAACTGAAGCCACTTGGCCCAGAAAGCTGGGGATGGGGGTGGTGAGGGGCCTTGCTCTGAGCACAGGTGACAAATCCTAGGAAGTGGCTGGTCTGGAGTCTCATCCAGACAGGTGGGTGTCCCAACCTGGGGCTCTCTGACCTAGTTTGAGTCACTGTGATTCGTTACAGTAACTATTTTTAATGATTCTATACCAATAATAAACCAAACCCAAGCTGTTGCCAAGCTTCCTGAACACCCCCTTCCAACCCCTGCCACTGGGCTCTTGACCTCAGGAAGGCAGGCTGGGGGTAGGGAAGGAGGGGCTTGGCTGTCCTCCCTTCCGCCTGACCCCTGCAGTGTGTGTCTGCCCTGGGAGGAGAGCTGCTCTGGACTTCTGTCCCTGTCCTTGGCTCTTCATTTCAAGAAGGCAGCAAGGAGGGACGCTTTCCACTCCCCTGCTTCCCTGACCTCTGCTCCGTGCTGTGCACTGCCCCAAGGGATAGGTGGGCCTGGGTGTCTATGGGTGTGGGTGTCCCTTGCAGCTTGGGAGACAGGGGTCACCATCTGGTCTTGGGTCCAGGAGGCTAGAAGCCACATTGCTGAGACATCAGGGAGTTAGAATCCAGAGGTTCGGCCAAAGCCCTAAACCCTTCCCCAGATAAGCCCTGGAGACCTACACAGAGCAGGGCCAGAGCTGGATCATCACTGACTGGGGAGGAAGCTGCTGCTTCTGCTCCAGCTTCTCTGCCTGTCATCTCTGTTCCTGAACATTCCCCTTTCTCCAGTGGGCAATTTTGAGTGTGCCCTCCCTGAGGGACTGCTGTGCACTGCCACCTTTCTCTGAGAAAAGGTCCTTAGTTGGACCAGGGACAGCTGAGCTTGGGGTGGGGAGGAGTGAAGGGGTCCTGTGTTAGGGGTGCTATTTCCCTGCTCTGCCTTGGCAGACTGCTTTGGCCTCTCTTTGTATGTGGGTATTTATTAGAAGGGGCCTTGTGTCAGACACACTTGGCTCTCCACCTGGACGCGCACCAGTGGCCTTTCAGTGTGGGAGGAGTGTCTGTAGGTGTGGAGTTTGCATTGACAGCTGGGGCAGGGTCCTGGGCAGGTGAGGGGCCAGAGGGGAGAGTTCAGGATTCTCTGGAGTGCCCTGCCAGGCACGGAGGAGGCCAGCACAAGTCTTGAATAGGTTCTCCCTTGAAATAAAGACTGTAGTCGCCCAAGAACTCCCTTTCTGTTCCTTCCTGGTCCTGGAGACCTCCAGGGGACTTTCCTATTTGTCTCTCCTGGGGGTGGGGAAAGGGACAGACAGGGACCAGGTCTCCGCCCTCAGAGGCCTGCAGGAGGGAGCCCTGCGCTCGCTCGCCAGCACAGCAACCCCACCTCCTGAGCTTGCTGCCTTCCTGCAGCTGCAGCCGCCTCCACCCTGCACCCTGGCTCTTGGGGGAGCCAGTTTCACTGTTGCCATTGTGACAACAATGGAAAGAACAGAGGGAGAGTCCAGGGCAGGCCTGACACACCAGGACAGTCAGAGCAGCTTTGGCGACCTCGCCCCTCCCTCAGCCCGTCCACCTCCCTGCATCCTGAGGCCAGTCGCCCCCCGGGCCTGCACAGATACCTCATCATCTACCCACCGCCCCCCAGCAGTGGGGGCCTCCAAATCTAGTGCCGAATGACTATGTCCAGATTGGTGACGATGGGTGTTGCTATTGTTTTTGTTGTCGTTTGTGAATGCTGTGACGCTGTGTGCCCAAGTGGGCAGCCACCACCCAGCCCTTCCTTGGGTGTCCCCCCCCCCCCAGAGCTGTCAGGAGTACATCTGTCCTCACCCTGTGGGACCGCCTGCCCCTGCCCTTCCAGCCTGGGACACACACACACACATACACTCTTCTTACCTCTCATGCGTGTTTTACTTTTTGATGTTCAGAGTGGCTCACTGGCTGGGAGTCTTTACCTCGGGGAGAGGGGGAGGTTGGTTCCTTGGGGGAGCCAAAAAAGGGCAGGGAATGCCTGGAGGGTAACTGGGGGTCATCACAACCCCTGCTGTCCCTGCTCTCTCCAAGAATAGCTTCTCCCCCAATCCCAGGGTCCCACCCCCAACCCCTAAAGAGGTGGCCCTTGTTTACAGTGAGGACTCAGTCACTGTGTCTCCGTTTCCTGAAATTTAAACTGTAGCGACCCCAGACTGTAGAGATTTTTATGTGTTTGGATACATCTGCTGTGTGGGGGAAAAAAAAACTACAAAAACCCTAATTTTGTACATATTGTATTTTTACTATTGAACTGTATTCTAGTGGCTGTTCATGTTCCAAGACTTTAGGTATTGAGACATGAATACTATCTATGTAATAAGCACTTGCCTGGAATAAAATATAAAACTGAAATAAACCTGCACTGAAACCTGAGCTGGAGCTGCCAGCCTGCAGCATCTGGGTCATTTTATTGCAAACGGAGGCAGAGGCCTGCAGGGGAGGCGTCCAGCGAGCGGGTGGCAAAGGATCGCTTGTCCTTACCTATTGCTGGGGGCATCGTCCTCAAGCAACGTCCATGCTGGTCAACTTTAGAGAAAGATCTGGGACCTTCCAGTTCTGATCCTGATGCCTCAACAAGCTATGAAAACTGCAGTTCTGGTCTTCCTTATACTTTTGCAAAGCTTTATATTTTCTCAAACCATTTTGACAAACATTATCTTGCTTCATCTTTTAACAGCCCAATGAAGTAAATAAACCAAGAACTAGCCCTGTTTTGGCAGATAAAGAAACAGGTTTGAGGTGGCCAGATGACTTGTTATGGTCACATAGCTAGCTAGCCTGGTACCTTGGAGCTACAGTCAGACCTGTCAGTACAGAGTTCCTCCCCTAGCATTTGCCACCCTTTGTCCCTAGGCCAATCCTAGAGTCAGGGATCCATTAAAAAATAGTAGAGGGGCACCAAGCATGATGGTGCGTGCCTGTAGTCCCAGCTACTCGGGAGGATTGCGTGAGCCCAGGAGTTCAAGATCGGCTTGAGCAACGCAGCAAGACCCTGTTTCAAAACAGACCAAAAAACAAAACAAAACAAAAAAACTCCACACATACAAAAAAAGTAGAGGGGAATTGCCCCAAGATCTGGGCACAGGGCGTGAGAGGCTTCCTAAGAAGCTGCTTCTGAGGTTGTAGTTGTGACAGGGAAAGGAATAAGGAGAAGAGGTTGGAGATCAGGGGCCAAAGAACACTGAAAGCCACAGTCTTAATGCTCTCAGCTCTGCCTACAAACCGCCTGGAAGACCCTTGTTCCCATAGTTGCATCTTCTCTCCCCACAACCTTTTGGCAGCTGTCTTAGGACTAAGTTCGGGCAGTGAGGTCCAGGGCAGTTAGCTGGGCTGAGCTGTAGACCAGGTTGGTCCAGGCTGCCTGGTCTTAGTATGTCTACTCCCTGGTGGCACCTGACTCTCAATCTCAGCGGTGGGAACTGACTCTGCTCCCTACTGGGGTGGATGGGGAGAGGAGCTACCCTTGAGGAAGGGAGTGGTGGCCACAAATGTCTTGGGGTCCTATTTTCTGAAAGAGAAGTGCTCACCTCAAGAAAGTTCAGACCCGGTCCTCCCCACTGCCCCACAATTGCACCAGCCTTTTCACTTGTGAGGAGTGGGCTCCCTCTGCTGGTAGCTCAGGGAAGAGCTGGGTCATTTCCACTGGCCCCGCAGCACCACTTTAGGGAAGGGGTTAGGTTAGATTTAACCCTTCCTGGGTGCCCACTCCGTGCCAGGCACTACGCCCAGCACTGGGGATACAGATGAAGACCCTGCCCTGGCAGTCGTGACTCAGTATCATCTGAGGGCTGTCGCTAAATCTTAAGCAGAAGCAGAAGCTGTACTCAAAGGACAGTCCCTCCATCTCAGCTGGAGCCTGTAAGAGAGGGACCTGTGGTCAGAGTCATGGAAAACAAAATCCCAAGTATGATTCCAGTTGCTTCCACACCAGCTCCTGCTTTCCAGGGATGAGGGTTCCCAGAAATGGGGTTTCTCACTCTACCTTCAAGACTGCCCCTGCCTCAGCAGACCCATCATTTTGGCTGTGGGGTTCCCTCTGGTCCTAGAATCCCAGCCTCATGGTCTAGGAGAGTGGGGACGGATGGGAGTGTGTGAAGAAACTGAGTCGCTCTCAACCTAGCTTATCCCTGGGCCTTTGGTGAATTTCTTTTAGGTGGTCACAGGAGAGGAAAAAAAAATTTTTTTTTTTTTGATACAGGGTGTGACTCTGTCACTCAGGCTGGAGTGCAGTGACACAATCATAGCTCACTGCAACCTCCAACTCCTGGCCTCAAGCAATCCTCCTGCCTTAGCCTCCCAACTTGTTGGGATTACAGGCATGAGCCACACCTGGCAGGAGAGGGAATTCTGATTCCTCCAGGCAACACAATCAGCTGGGCCAGGGGAGGGGGGCGGCAGGGGGCAGGGGGAGGAAGGGGGTGGTCCCCAGAGGGGCTTATCAAGTTCCCTGGCCCCAGAGCTCCCCACGTCAATGGGTTTCTCTGCCTGGGCAGCTCTGGCTACTAGTCTGTGTTCTGTCTCAAAAACTGGGTTCAATCTGCTAGGCCCATAGGATGGGATATTTCAGCTCTGAGTGAGTTGACTACAGGCCCTAATGTTCAGAAAGCCAGTATCCTCTAGAACCACAAAATATGTTGGGTGACTAGAGTCCTCTACCTGGAGCCATCGATGATGGGGCCAGTGGCACTCTGGGGTTGGGGAAGGGCAGGAAAAGAGGTAGAGACCTGTTATTATAGTTGGGGCCTTTTCCAAGCCTCAGCAGGGTCAAACCCCTCCTGACGCTTTCCCCCAGGCCCCAGCCTACCCAGGCATCTCAAAGACAGTACTCAGTGGCTGGGAGCCACAGCAGAGGGGCAGGGCCCTTCCCCA